GTGAAAGCGTTTCTAGTTCTCCAATCCTCTCCAGCATATGTTGTTTCCTGATTTTTTAATGATCACCATTCTAGCTGGTGTGAGATGGTATCTCATTGTGGTTTTGATTTGCATTTCTCTAATGACCAGTGATGATGAGCTTTTTTTGATATGTTTTGATAAATGTCTTCTTTTGAGAAGTATCTATTCTTATCTTTCACCTACTTTTTGATGAGGTCTGTTTTTCCTCATAAATTTGTTTAAGTTCTTTGTAGTTCCGGATATTAGATCTTTGTCAGATGGGTAGATTGCAAAAATTTTCTTCCACTCTATAAGTTGCCTGTTCACTCTAATGATAGTTTCTTTTGCTGTGAAGAACTTTTTAAGTAAAATTATGCCCTATATATCAATTTTGATTTTTGTTGCCATTGCTTTTGGTGTTTGAGTCATAAAGCCTTTGCTCATGCCTATGTCCTGAATAGTATTGCCTAGGTTTTCTTCTAGAGTTTTTATGGTTTTAAGTATTAGGTTTTTGTCTTTAATCTATCTTGAGTTAATGTTTGTATAAGGTGAAAGGAAGGGATCCAGTTTCAGCTTTCCACATATGGCTAGACAGTTTTCCCAACACCATTTATTAAATAGGGAATCCTTTCTCCATTGCTTGCTTTTGTCAGGTTTGTCAAAAATCAGATGGTTGTAGATGTGTGGTGTTATTTTAGAGGGCTCTGTTCTGTTCCATTGTTTCTATATCTGTTTTGGTACCAGTACCACGGTGTTTTGCTGTTTTGGCTACTGTGTAGCCTTGAGGTTTGGTTTGATGTCAGGTAGTATGATGCCTCGAGCTTTTTTTTTTTTTTTTCCTTAGAATTATCTTGGCTATTCAGGCTATTCAGGTTCCATATGAAATTTGAAGTATTTTTTTTCTAATTCTGTGAAGAAAGCCAATGGTAGTTTGATGGGAATAGCATTGAATCTGTAAATTGCTTTGGATATTTATAGATTCAATGTGATTGCCATTTTCACGATATTGATTCTTTCCAACCATGAGCAGGTTTTGGTATCAGGATGATGCTGGCCTCATAAAAATGTGTTAGGGAGATGTCTCTCTTCTTCTATTGTTTGGAATAGTTTCAAAAGAAATGGTACCAGCTCCTTTTCCTACCTCTGGTAGAATTTGGCTGTGAATTCATCTGGTCTTGGGCTTTCTTTAGTTAGTAGGCTATTAATTACTGCCTCAATTTCAGCACTTGTTATTGGTCTATTCAGGGATTTGACATTTTACTGATTTAGTCTTGGGAAGGTGTATGTGTCCAGAAATTTATCTATTTCCCCTAGATTTTCTAGTTTATGTGCATAGAGGTGTTTATGGTATTCTCTGATGGTTGTTTGTATTTCTGTGGGATCAATGGTGATATCCCCTTTATTGTTTTTTATTGTCTATTTGATTCTTCTCTTTTTTCTTTGTCTGGCTAGTGGTCTCTGTATTTTATTGATGTTTTCAAAAAAACAGCTCCTGGATTCATTGATTTTTCAAAGGGTCTTTCCTATGTGTATCTCCTTCAGTTCTGCTCTGATCTTAGTTATTTCTTGTCTTCTGCTAGCTTTTAAATTTGGTTGCTCTTGCTTTTATAGTTCTTTTGATTGCAATGTGAGGTGTCAATTTTATATCTTTTCTGCTTTCTCTTGTGGGCATTTCGTGCTATAAATTTTCCTCTAAACACTGCTTTAGCTGTGTCCCAGAGATTCTGGTACATTGTGCCTTTGCTCTCATTTGTTTCAAATAACTTATTTATTTCTGCTTTACTTTTGTAATTTACCCAGTAGTTATTAAGGGGCAGGTTCTTCAGCTTCCATGTAGTTGTGCGGTTTTGAGTGACTTTCTTAATCCTGACTTCTAATTTGATTGTACTGTGGTCTGAGAGACTTATTTTTATTATTCCTAGATTTTTTTTTGCATTTACTGAGGAGTGTTTTACTTCCAATTCCAATATGTGGTCAATTTTAGAATAAGTGAAATGTAGTGCTAAGAAGAATGTATATTCTGTTGATTTGGGATGGAGAGTACTGTAGATGTTTATTAGGTCATTTTGGTCCAGAGCTGAGTTCAAGTCCTGAATATCCTTGTTATTTTTTTGTCTTATTGAACTGTCTAATATTGACAGTGTGGTGTTAAAATCTCTCACTATTATTGTGTGAAAGTCTAAGTCTCATTGTAGGTATCTAAGAATTTGTTTTATGAATCTGAGTGCTCCTCTATTGGGTACATATATATTAAGGATAGTTAGCTTATTTGTTGCATTGATCCCTTCACCATTAAGTAATGCCCTTCTTTGTCTATTTTAATCTTTGTTGGTTTAAAGTCTGTTTTATCAGAGACTAGGATTGCAACCCCCGCTTTTTTTTTTTCCTTTCCATTTGCTTGGTAAATATTTCTCCATCTCTTTAATTTACTCCCGTATGTGTCTTTGCATGTGAAATTTGTCTCCTGAATACAGTACACTGATGATTTTTGATTCTTTATTCAATTTGCTAGCCTGTGTCTTTTAACTGGGACATTTAGTCTGTTCACATTTAAGGTTAATATTGTTATGTGTGAATTTAATCCTGTCATTATGATGCTAGCTGGTTATTTGTTCATTAGTTGATGCAGTTTCTTCACAGTGTCAATTGTCTTTGCAATTTGGTATGTTTGTGCAGTGGCTGGTACTGGTTTGATTTTCATGTTTAGTGTTTTTTTGTTTTATTTTTTAATGAGCTCTGGTAAGACAGGACTGGTGGTGACAAAATCTCTTAGCATTTGCTTGTCTGTAAAGGATTTTATTTTTCTTTCGCATGTGAAGATTAGTTTGGCTGGATGTGAAATTCTGGGTTGAACATTCTTCTCTTTAAGAATGTTGAATATTGGCCCCCATTCTCTTCTGGCTTGTAGGGTTTCTGCAAAAGGATCCACTGTTAATCTCATGGGCTTTTCTTCGTGGGTCTGGCTGCCCTTAACATTTTCTTCTTCATTTTAACCTAGGTGAATCTGACAGTTATGTGTCTTGAGGTTGCTCTTCTCGAGGAGTACCTTTGTGGTACTTTCTGTATTTCCTGAATTTGAATGTTGGCCTGTCTTGCTAGGTTAGGAAAGTGCTCCTAGGGAATATCCTGAAGTGTGTTTTCCAACTTGGTTCCATTCTCCTCATCACTTTCAGGTACACCAACCAAGCATAAGTTTTGTCTTCTCACATAGTCCCATACTTCCTGGAGGCTTTGTTTGTTTCTTTTCATTATTTTTTCTCTACTCTTGTCTTTATGCTTTATTTAACTAAGTTGATCTTTAATCACTGATATCCTTTCTTCTGCTTGGTTGATTCAGCTGTTGATATTTGTGTATGCTTCACTAAGTTCTCATGCTGTGTTTTTCAGCTCCATCAGGTCATTTGTGTTCTTCTCCACACTGGTTTTTCTAGTTAGCAATTCCTCTAACTATTTTTTCAAGGTTGTTACTTTTCTTGCATTGGGATAGAACATGTTCCTTTAGCTTGGAGGAGTTTGTTATTCCCCACCTTCTGAAGCCTACTTTTGTCAATTCATTAAACTTATTCTCCATTCAGTCTGTTTCCTTGCTGGCAAGGAGTTGTGTTCTTTTGGAGGAAAAGAGGTGCTCTAGTTTTTTAATTTTCAGCCTTTTTCCACTGCTTTTTTTCTCATCTTCATGGATTTATCTACCTATGTTCTTTGATATTGGTGAGCTTCAGATAGAGTTTCTGTGTGGACATCTTTTTGGTAGATATTGATGCTATTCCTTTCTGTTTGTTAGTTTTCCTTTTAACAGTCAGGCCCCTCTGCTGCGAGTCTGCTAGAGTTTCCTGGAGATCCACTCCAGACCCAGTTTGGCTGTTTCACCAGCAGAGGCTGCAGAACAGCAAAGATTGCTACCTGTTCCTTCTACTGAAAGCTTTATACCAGAGGGGCACCCACTAAATGCCAGCCAGAGCTCTCCTGTATAAAGTGTCTGTTGACCCCTGATGGGAGGTGTCTCCCAGTTAGGAGGTATAGGGGTCAGGGACCCACTTGAGGAGGCAATCTGTCCCTTAGCAGAGCTCAAGCACTGTGCTGGGAGATCCACTGCTCTCTTCAGAGCCAGTAGGCAGAAACATTTAGGTCTGCTGAAGCTGCGCTCACAACTGCCCCTTTTCCCAGGTGCTCTGTCTCAAAGAGATGGGAGTATAATCTACAAGCCTTTAACTGGGGATGCTGTCTCTTTCTTTCAGAGGAATCTAGAGAGGCAGTCTGGCTACAGCAACTTTGCCAAGCTGCAGTGGGCTTGGCCTAGTTTAAACTTCCTGGCAGCTTTGTTTATACTGTGAGGGGAAACTGCCTACTCAAGCCTCAGTAATGGCAGATGCCACTCCCTCCACCAAGCTAGAGCATCCCAGGTTGACTTCAGACAGCCATGCAGGCAGTGAGAATTTCAAGCCAGTGGATCTTAGCTTGCTGGGCTCTGTGGGGGTGGGATCCACTGGGCTAGACCACTTGGCTTCCTGGCTTCAGTCCCCTTTCCAGGGAAGTGAGCGGTTCTGTCTTGCTGGCTCTCCAGGGGCTCCTGGGGTATTAAAGACAAATCCTGTCACTAGCTCAGTATCTGCCCCAATGGCAACTCAGTTTTGTGCTTGAAACTCAGAGCTCTGATGGCATAGGCATCAGAGGGAATCTCCTCATCTGCTGGTTGCAAAGACCATGGGAAAAGCATAGTATCTGTGCCAGAGTGCACAGTTTCTCACAGCACAGTCCCTCAAGGCTTCCCTTGGCTAGGGGAGGGAGTTCCCTGACCCCTTGCACTTCCCTGTTGAGGTAACACCCCCACCCTGCTTCATCTTGCCCTCTGTGGGCTGCACTCACTGTCTAACCAGTCCCAATAAGATAAGCCAGATACCACAGTTGGAAATGTAGAAATCACCCACCTTCTGTGTTGATCTAGTTGGGAGCTGAAGACTGGAGGTGTTTGCATTCGGCCATCTCAAAAAGGATTTTAAGTTAAAAATATTCAATGCTTCACACAGTTGCATGTCATCATTGCACAGGGACCACACTAATTCTATAGCATTCCAACGTTAGTATATGGGCTACCGAAGCAAGCACAATTTGGTCAATAATAGCATAATTGTACATTTTAAAATAAAGAGTGTAAACGGATTGTTTGTAACACAAAGAATAAATGCTTGAGGAAACGAATACTCCCAAAAATTATATAGTTAAAAAATGTGACCTCATATTGTACACTTAAAAACAGTTAAAATAAAATGGTATGTCTTATAAAAATTTATAAAATCAACATAAAGCACAGAGAATTATTTTAGTAAGACACAAAATCTTTGCTATCTAGGTTACAGGCAATAAATAGTAAACCAAGTAAATGAGTCCATCAAAATTAAGAAAACTTTGCCAAGATATTAAAATATTTAATAGCTTTTCAGACCCAGGAATTATAAAACAAGTCAAAGAAAAATTGCCTTCCAAGTTTGCACTTTCGCTATGCTCTTTCATTTTCTGGAACAGACACTGTATTTTATTTTGGAAGTTTGTAAGGTCAGGACTAATTTCATAATATTACTATGATGTTATTAATATGCAATACATTCATCATTGATAAATCAATAAAGAAGCAATTAAATTTCTTTTAGTTTTAATTTTTAATATGGTAAATATTTGAAGAAATAACTCATAAAGCAATGTTACTTCTAGACTTCATATATTGAAAAAGGGTATTAGTTAGGGTTCTTTAAAGGGACAGAACTAATAGGATAGATGAATATATAAAAGAAAGTTTATTAAGAGAATTGACTCATTATTACAAAATGAAGTTCCACAATAGGGTGTCTGAAAGCTTAAGACCCAGGAAACCAATCCACGTCACAAAACCTCAAAAGTAAGGCAGCTGAGAGTGTTGCCTTCAGTCTGTGGCTGAAGGCCTACGAGTCCCTGGAAAATCACTGATGTAAGTCCAAGAGTCCCAGATTTGAAGAACATGGGTCTAATGTTCCATGACAGGAAGGATCCAGCGTGGGAGAAAGACAGAAGACTCAAGCCAGTCTAGTGCTTCCACGTTCCTCTGCCTACTTTTATCAGAGTCATGCTGGCAGCTGATTAGATGTTGTCCATCTAGATTGAGAGTGAGTCTGCCTCTCAAAGTCAATCAAATGTTAATCTGCCTTGGCAACACCTTCACAGACACACCCAGGAACAATATATTCTTCAATTCAATCAAGTTGATACTCAATATTAACCATCATGAAGAGTATAAAGAAGTTTGGAGACAAAACAAAAATCCTCTGAGAACTGCTGCTTTAGAATAATATTAATTGTTCCCATAAGAAACAGAAGCATATACACAATTATACTCCTCTAAAACTATTGTTCTTAGATGTGGTCTCCAACATATATATTAATAATCATCCTTAACCAAAGTAGCTTCTATTTCACAAAGAAAACTGAGAGATGGGTAACCGAGAATTGTCTGCCAAACACTAGCATATAGTAAACTCTCAGAATTCATGGATATTCATAACACAACATTTTTAGGCCACCCACATCCCACATACAGCTGTTCAAAGTGGCAAGAATGAGCATATTATCATGACCTAAAGATACAGTTTTTGGGTCAGGTGCAATGGCTTACACTTGTAACTCCAGCACTTTGAGATGCCAAGGTGGGAGGATCACTTGAGCCCAGGAATTTGAGACCAGCCTTGGCAACATAGTCAGAACCCATCTCTATAAAATAAAAAATAAAAAAGTTAAGGGGGTATGTTTTATTTTGTTTAGAAATAATGTAGATATCCAGTGAATCCAATGATTAATTCAATTCAGTATGATTCCAAAACTTTAAGTTACCTAAAGATCTAGAAAATTATCTGGAAGCTGACATAGTACAAAGCATAAATACTATTGAAATATAGTTATCATAATAATAATTAAATTTGGTTAAATGCAAATGTGCATATTTTATAATCTTAAACATTAAGTAATGCTAGTTTAACTTATCAGTAAACCTGTATAAGTCTAGGAAAAACACAGCCATGTAGAATGGTAATGTATACTTGTATTATACTTAACACTGATGAATCAGAACAAAAGACATGGCTATTTTTATACAAGCAAAATTATTAAACTGCTCTGGTTTGCCAAAGTATTACCTAAATTATAGTAACTTGGATTTGTATCCAATTTTAGTCTTCTGCATATGACTAGTCAGTTATTGCTGCACCATTTATTGAATAGGAATTCTGTCCCCATTACTCGTCTTTGTCAGATTTGTCAAAGATCAGATGGTTGTGCATATGTGGTCTTATTTATGGGTTCTCTATTCTGTTCCATTGGTTTATGTATCTGGTTTTGTACCAGTGCCATGTTGTTTTGGTTACCATAGCTCTGTAGTGTAATTTGAAGTCAGGTAAATTGATGCCTCCAGCTTTGTTCTTTTTGCTTAGGATTGCCTTGGCTATTAGGGCTTTTTTTGTTTCCATATGAATTTTAAAGTAGTCTTTTCTAGTTCTGCAAAGAATGTAATTGGTAGATTCATAAACATACCACTGAATCAATAAATTTCTTTGGACAGAATGGACATTTTAACAATATTGATTCTCCCTAACCATGAGCGTGGAATGTTTTACCATTTATTTGTGTCATCTCTAATTTCTTAGGGCAGTGATTTGTAGTTCCCCTTATAGAAATCTTTCACTTCCTTAGTTAGCTGTATTACTAGGTATTTTTGTGTATATGTAACAAATGTGAAAGGGAGTTCATTCCTGATTTGGCTCTCAGTTTGGCTGTTGTTGGTGTACAGAGATGTTAGTAATTTTTGTACATTGATGTTGCATCAGGCAACTTTGCTGAAGTCGTTTATAAGCTGGAGAAGGTTTTGGGCCAAGACTATGGGGTTTTCTTAGATATAGGGTTATGTCATCTGCAAATAGAGATAGTTTAAATTCCTCCTGTTCAGATTTTTTTTTTCCTGATTGTCCTATCCTGAACTTCCAATACTATGTTGAAGGAGTGGTGCCACAGGACATCCTTGTCTTGTGCAGATTTCCAACAGGAATGCTTCCAGCTTTTGCCCATTCAGTGTGATGTTGGCAATGGATTTGTCATACACGGCTCTTATTATTTTGTGGTATATTCCTTTAATACCAAATTTATTGAGAGATTTTAACATAAAAAGGTGTTGAATTTTATTGAAATCCTTTTCTGCATTTATTGAGATAATCATGTGGTTTTGTCTTTAATTTTGTTTATGTGATGAATCACATATATTGATCTGTGAATGTTGAATCAACTTTTCATCCGAGGGATAAGGTCTACTTGATCATGGTGAATTAGCTTTTTGATGTGATGTTAAATGTGGTTTTCAAATAACTTTTGCAATGATGTTTATCAAATATATTGGCCTGAAGTTTTCTTTTTTTTGTTTTTGTATCTCTGCCAGGTTTTGATATCAAGATGATGCTGATCTCATGGAATGAATTAAGGAAAAGTCCCTCCTCCTCAAATTTTGGAATAGTTTCAGTAGGAATGGTACCAAGTCTTCTTTGTACATTTGTTAAAATTTAGCTGTGAATCTCTCTGGTCCTGACCTCTTTTTTTGTTGTTGTTGTTGCTATTGGTAGGCTATTAGTACCTTAATTTCAAAGCTCATTATTCATCTGTCCAAGGATTCAGTTTCTTTTTGGTTTCATGTTAGGAAGGTTTATCTGTCCAGGAATTTATTCATTTCTTCTATATTTTCTAGTTTATGTGCATAGAGGTATTTGTAATATTCTTCAAAAGTAGTTTGTATTTCTGTGGTATCAGTGGTAATATTTCTCCTGTCATTTCTAGTTGCATTTATTTGAATCCTCTCTCTTTTCTTCTCTATTCTTGTTTGCTTATTTCAAAAAGACAGTGTTCAAGCTGTGAGACTCTTTCCTACTCTTGGTTTATTCTTCATTAATACCTGTGATTGCATTAGGAAGTTCTGTAGTGTATTCTTCAGTACTATTAGGTTGGTTGTGTTCCTCTCTATACTGGCTATTTTTTCTGTCAGCTCCTGCAATGTTTTATCATAATCTTTAGCTTCCTTGCATTGGGTTACAATGCACTCCTGTACCTCAGTGAACTTATTTCTTATCACTGTTCTGAATTCTACTTCAGTTATTTCAGCCATCTCAACCTCAGCCACATTCCAAACCCTTGCTAGAGAAGTAATGCAGTCATTTGGAGAAAAGAAGTTACTCTGACTTTGAGTTTTCAATGTTCTTGCATTGATTCTTTCTCATCTTTGTGGATTTATTTACCTTCAGTCTTTGAGGTTGTTGATCTTTAGATGGTCTTTTAAAATTTGTATCCTATTTGATGACCTTCAGAGTTTGGTTGTCGTATAAGGTGTATTTAGCCAACTGGTTTCATTTCTGGAAGATCTTATGGGGCCAACATTCTGCTTTCAACTCCTGGATTGCATGCCTTAACTCTGGGGGACTAGTATTGGGCCCCGGCATTGTTCTCTGACTCCTCAAGGTGTGGAGGCTACTGCAGTGGGAGGACTGAGGTGTGTTACCTCCAGCCCAATGTTAGTGGATGCAGGGGTGCCTGCTTCCCTGAGAGAGTTCATCACAGTGACAAAGGGAAGGCTGTTAAAGAGGAGTGGGGGGCCCCTGATGGAGACTATGTGTGCTGTTGCACTGAAGGTAATGTTGGTTTGGAGCAGGCTGCTGGCCAGGGCAGTTCTGGGTGCCTTCTCTGTGCCCTGCAAGCAGGAGTAATCACTAAGGGTGTGGGAGAAGAACCTGTTATCTGGGAAGCATTAGCACAAGATTGGGGAAGGGGGATTTGGGAACAGGGTTTGCTGGCTCTGTGCTCGCCAAGGCTCCATCTACAATGGCGGTCTGCAGGGGTCATGGGGCTACTGCACACCCACGTGCTGGCAGGACAAGTAAAGCAAAACTCACCAGTGCTAACATGCACCAGCAAACTGATGTGGGGAGTTGCTGTGGGTTCGAGGGGAAGCTGCAGTATAAGGAAGGAACATGCAGGCTGGTGCACAGCTATAGGGTCCACCACACTAGAGCTCTCCACCTGTCAAGCATGGTTCAATGGTGCAGAAGCTA